CAATAATGTAGCATTAGATTTTGAACCAATCCTTGTTATAAGGTATTGATTAACTGCTTAAATGCATGTACAAATCATTCAGGTGGGTTTAAATCTGTGTATGAAGTATATCAGTGTGTTACAAGGCATTAATTGGTCATCGGATGCTTAGAAGCTTTAGGACCAACCCCAGTGCGTCAGAGCACCGGTGCTACAACAGCATGGTTCCCTGGAAGCTTTAATTAAATATTAATCTGACGTCTGACTCTGTCTGCCTGTCTGTAATCCCAACCTCTCCATCCCAGAGACATAATCCCAGGCAGGAGGCACCCAGAGCTGGGATTAAGGAGGCTGCCATTCCCCTCCCTCACTCCCGGCCTTCCCTGACCAGCGGCACACGACTGAGAGATGACAACTCAAATCCTGAGAACAACAGCCACTGACAGGATACCACACTTCTAGTGTACAGATTCATATAACGCTTAGCCATATAGGACATTCATATATAGTATTTATATTTCTGTGTGTGTGTATGACACTGTAGATGTGTGTTTTCCTGTACATGTAATAATAGTGTTAGACAGTGGAGTTCATTCATGTCAGTAAAACAGATACATAGAGCTCATAGATGTCTAGACTGTCACACTTATCAGACATGTTGCTCATATTGGTCATTATTTAATGGCTCATTAGGGCTTGATGCCACATATGGCTCTCATCTGTATGTTTTTTTTGCACATATAGCGTGGGAGTTGTTGTATAGCGTGGATATGCCACAAATCAAACTCCCCCCTAACTCCCGAGAGGAGCAATAAAGATAGAGAACATACAGACGAAAGGCAGCCATAGGATTACACAGAGACAGAGCAGCAGACTATGAGACTGGGAGCTCTGGCTAGATTGACAGATTCCACTGTAGGGCAAGGCCACATCACAACAGTCCCTGTCCCAGGGGAGAAGAGCTGCATTGCTGCTCCTATAAGCTTCGTACGCAACAAAGCCAGCACAGATACGGGGAGGGTGATAAATTAAAGACAGACAGAGAGAGCCAGGCTACAACAAGACAAAGACGCAGAGTGATGGTTGTTTATGGTTGCAAGGCCTCCTTCTCTCACTCCCTGTTATTTGCTGGGTGTAGTTGAAAGACGAGCATGTGTGTGTGCGTGCTGTTTCTATTTTGGCAGTTTTGGTTGTGTTTCTCCCCACAAAAATACCCTGAAATGCCTACATTTGTATTGCTTGTCATAAATGTCCCGGTGACCCCATGACTGCGTACCTCTGATGTTTTCCGAGAAAAGGGAGCAGAAAAGAGAGTCCGCTCTAGAAGAGAGAGAGAGAGCTGCTGGCAGCGTTAGACTACAGCTAATTAGCTTGGTCCATAAGAACAAAACACTCAGTGAAAGTTCTTGGGTTGTAAAGAAACTCATGATGACTGTGTGTGTGTGTGTGTGTGTGTGTGTGTTTGTGAATAGTGCTCCAGTAATCACTGCTCTCGCTCCACTGAGCTCATGCTGATAGCACACTAAATCAGACAGCTCTGCAGTGCTGGACAAACTCTCGCTCTTTTTCCCTATCCCTCACTCGCATTGGCTCTCTTTCCTCCCCATTGCTCTTGTTCTAGCACCCCGTCTCTCCTCATTCCCATCAGCACGCCTCCCTCCACTTCTTTCCGCTATTTCTTTCATTTATTTTTCCACCTACTCGTCATCCTTTCACTTCCTTATTCCCCTCAGCTCTGTTCCTTAATTCCAGCCGGTCCGTTCCTTATCTGTCCCTTTCTTCCCTCACTTTAAATCCCCTCTTCAATTGCTTTATCTCACACTGCCGTGCAGCTGCAGCCTCCCTGTGACAGAGTGCTGCTGACACAATGCCAACTCAGCAGCCGCATGCTCTCAGACACAGCCTGCATGTACAGTATGCACCAAACACACAAAACCTCTTCAGGTTAAGCCCAGTGTGTGTGTCTGTGTACATGTATATGCTCGAGCTAGATTAAACACATACGCGCGCTGCCAGGTGAAATTGGCTTGTCCCAATCTCTGTGTGTGTGTCCCAGAGCTGTGCTGGTGGGAGTGATCTCATCAGAGCCTGAGCCGCTCACAGCGGTATGTTCAGTCAGGTATGTGACTCCAGGGATATCAGGCACAACAAATGTAAAATAAAAGGTTTAAAGAGGTTTAAATGGGGACTTCAATATACAATATTTCAAGGAAAAATACTGCTTTGAGGTGTCCCTATTACATCTGTGCGCCTCCTGGAACAAATAAATAGCACACAAGCTTTACAGACATTTCCGTTGTGTTTCTGGATTTCACCAATGCACCACTGTGAATTCTATCTTTCCCCTCACTCTTTGAGCCGAGGCTGCAAATCACTGACTGAGAACTCTGGGAGGCAGAGCTGGAAGGACAAGATAATGGGCTTTCCATGGAAGGGTTTTTTGGCTTTGTCTGTGGAGCAAAATACTTGGAAATGTCCTCCCTTGTCACACTGGCTCACTCACAAAGAGATGTGCAGTTTTTTTTTGTGTGTACAAACACACAGACGAGTGGAAGAGTTTAGCACCCAGATAACCCCTCATAAAATAATCTAATGGTGGACCAGAAATAAGACCTCTTGCAGGGGGAAATACAAGCATTCACCTAAGGAGTTGTACATGTACAGTGTGAGTATATTCATATATGAAGCAGTGTCAGTGGCTGACTAATATCACTCCTCTCCACTGGCACGCACAGACACACTCTCAATACATGATCTGATAGAGTACAACTACTTACTTTGACACTTGAGTGCCTGTGCACTGATCTGACAGCTGCAGGCGTCACACCAGTCCCGTGTAACGGGCTTGACCTCGAACCTGTGTCCTTCGCCTTTCTCGGTCCTCACCCGGGGGTCCTTACCCCGGGGAAAGATGGACCAGGCCTCCCTGCGGGGAGGCTCGGTGCGGGCCAGCCTGACGACTCCAGTCCTGCCCTGTGTGAGCCGCTCCAGCTGCAGCCCGCTGCTCTCTCCCTGTGCCGGCATGGAGGAGGAGATGCTCCGCTGTCTGCTGTCTCCGCTCCAGGTGTCTCGTCTCGGTCCTTTGTGTCCGTTCGTAACCGACCCGCCTGGCATGACATTGACGCCCAACCTCCTGAGTGAAGTCCCCCTCCGACCACCTGTGTTGTGGTTCGTGTCCCAGTCGACGTTGCTGTTACAGTCTCCGGTAATGTGCCCGGTCTGACTCTGTCGAGTCCTGGCTGAGGAGTGCCGGTCACAGTCCGTGCTGCCCTTCTCCGTGCCCCGGTCCGGGCTACGTGGCGCAGCTGTGGCGGCCGGAGCTCCGCATCCCTCACCGGGTATCATTCCTCCTCTCGCCGCCGTTGCTCCCACTGGTCCCGGAGACAAGGGATGAGTTTCCGATTTTGCTTCAGTAGTGACCGAGCCGGACTCTCCGCTGCTCCCGCAGCTTCTCCTGAACATCATCTTCTCCCGGGACAATGTCTTCTTCAGTTTCTTTCTGCTGGCCAGTTTGAACCGTTCCGAGTCCAGTGCGTGCGGACCCGGGTGCTGCCCCACCACACTCACAGACGCCATTATCCTGTTCCCCTGTAGTGCGTGTGTGTTTGGCTGATCGGAGTGTGTATTAGTGCGTGTTTTTACTCCGTGCCCTGAATGTAAACTCAATTCACGCCCGCGACAAGCGTGTAGTAGTGACGCAGGGGATCTGGCGGCTTTAAATGCCGCGAGCGCGCTCCGTTTTAAAGCGACAGGAGCGCGCGCTAGTTCTTGGTTTATACTGTGCTGGTTTGATTTGGTATTACTTAATGAATTATTAAGCACTAATTCACTGGACGACAACACTTTACTTATGGCGACTCATTGTAAGTTGTTAGCTGTTTTGTTACTAACACTTAGGTTATTTACTTTAACTGTAGTCATAGCAAAAAACTTCTGAAACCACTACTAAAAGTAGACTAGCAGAAACCAGAAACCACAATCACAGATGAAGAGTCTGTAGAGAGCTACCAGAGACTGGGTTAAGTAGAAGTATGACACAGGGAACATAACATAATATTTTAATATTTAAAATGTCTGTAGGCTACCATGCCAATATTTAAAATAAGCTGGTATGGAAAAATATTAAAGAGCAATGTCTTTGGCATACAGTTACCATTCTTTAAAATGGAAAAGCCATCTGTTGTATGTAATCAATTATTCATTACTTTTTATTGGTGCTAAAGAGGGCTGGGCAGAAGAGTTGTGTCACTGTTGAAACTACACAGAGCTCAACCACTTATCTAAAAAAACCCATAACAATCAAATAACATTAACTACATATGAAACAGGACTGACACAGCTGGACTTATACGCAAGTTTAAAGTTAAAAAATATATAATAAAGTGATAAAAAACACAATGTCACACTTCTTTGTGTAGGTTAGGAAGAGGAAAGTTAGCAAATTTTCCACTTTGCCAAGAGCACGTCATATGAGCAGAACAAAACCACAGCGGCAGTTAGGCTTATCCCCCTAACTGAGCAGAGAAAGCCCCCGAGGTCACCTACACCACTCCTACACACACTGTGTCAAAGACTTTCAATTTCATTCTGTACTTTGCCGTGTCACAACAGCTCACTTGTTTTCTGTTTTTGTTTGAGACCTTTTATCTTTTCAGTAGAGTTAAACCTACCCACACCAAATTTAATGTTAAAGTAATTTGAGTACAGACTGAATATGAGTGTACTGTTGCCTCACAGTCATTTGTGACCTTACTGACAGAATAGAGTGATTCATCCTCACAGTTATTATTCTGCCACGCTACACTTATAAGTGGGGGCATGAAATGGTTTTCATAACAGACATCATTTGTAAAAACAAGAGTTGAAAATATGGCAAAAAATGTTTATAACCGCAAATATATATATATATATACCCTCATGCACACCTCTGACCCCTTTATAAACAAACAGACCCTGGGGTTTCCCCAGCATGTGAACCAAGCTGGCTAATGTCATTTCAGTGTAATGTCACTAGACCGTGTTGGCTTTATGTAGTTCTGTTAAAAAGGACACACAGTGGTAAGTGCTGAGTTTCCCTGATATTACTTCTCTTTTACAGTGAAACCTATAATAAAAGGAATAACTTACTGTTCACGTTAAACATAAACAGGAAGAGTAAGAAATGTAACTTTAAAAGTGCTGTGTGCTTGGAGACGCTGACAACCAATGACGTAATCAATTACTATAACTTTATTGAATTGACAATAATATACCCGAAGTAAACCTTGAAATGAAGTCACATGAATCCATTTGAATGATCAAGCATTAGAGAAAAGGACAGCAGACGACAGACACACAGATATTCAGTCAGTCTGGTTAAAGTAAACATTTAAGTTCCTCCAGATGTCGCACTGCTTCTTCTGTGGGACAAAAAAGAAACACAGCCTTAGATAAATGCTCCAGCAGCTGACTTTGCATTCATTTTGATTTATCTTGATGTCCATCACTCTGGCAGCCTATTAGAAATACAATAACACTAAAGGCATTAATGAGGTTTATATTGAACTGCTGCATTCACCAAGCACACGCACACACAAACACGCTGACTAAAAATCCATCAGCTGCGTTTCCTCCTTCTCCATTCTGTGCATCTTATCTCTTAATTGAGATTCACATTTTATTGATTGTCTTTGGCTGCTTCCTCTTCCTACAGCAAAAGCTGCAGCCGGTCCTTGAAAGACGATCCAGTACATTGTCCATAACAGTTCATGAGTGGCAGTAAAAATGTGGTGTTTGTCAGAGAGTGTGTATGTGCATTTGTGAGTTAAGATGCAAAGATGCTGCACTTTTTTTTGTCACAGCGTAGAAGGTCGGGCCAAGCTTGGCTCCAGAGCTGCTGGCGAGTTCACTGCTCCCAGGCTGTAGGAAAAAACAAATAAAAACAATCAATATCATACCTTCTCACCTACTGTATTATGGGGGTGTGAGTTTCAGAGAGGGAGGTGTTATAACAGGAAGTTGGTTGCTCAACTGACCTCTCAATAACGCTGTTGTTACACTGTAGCTCTCTCACCAAAATCTCCATTTCCTCCTTCAGACGGTGCATCCTAGAACAAAGAGATGTTATCAGGGCGATTGGGGAACTGTCTCTATCTTGCGCTCACACTCACACACTGACACACACACACACACACACACATACACACCTGGAGACCATCTGGTCCTTGTTGATGGATGTGGTTCCTGGCTGCTGTTGTTGTCCTGCTCTACTGGACTGCAGACTGATAAGGATCCCGTCCAGAGCCTGAGGAGGACAGAAGAGATGTTACATTAGTGTCATCACTAATATAACCATTGAAATAATACTTCCAAATCTATCTAATAGAAAACAATATCCAAAATATTTAATAACTTTCTCAGGGCAGGTCTTTGTGCATACTGTTAGATTAAAACGTTAGATCTAAGTTGCAGATGCAAAGATAAAGTGAAATGTTGACCTTATTTTGGCGCTGCTCACTCATCTGCAGGTCTGCCAACAAGCCTGTGGAGAAAGAGCTGAAATCCTGCAGTCGGGTCTGCATCTCCAGTAAAACACTGCAAAAACGAGCAGAGACAAACCTCAGTACGTCAAAGCTACCACTGTTACAATGTGCCAGTGCCCGCTGGAATCCAAAACAGACGAGTAAACAACTGGGAATAATAAAATTTGTTCAGTTTTAAGACTGAAATCAACTAGGTTGTTAAATGAGCAAAAATGTGTTGACAGATAATCTGGATAATTTGTTAATTATTCATTAAGTAATTGATTTTTAAAAAATATATTTCCAGCATAATTTCATCTTCGTCTTTTGATCTTTTTTCAACAATACTTGAACCTTAACCAAACTTGTACAGTTCACAAACCTTAATCAAGGCTTTAGCTACCAATTTAGTTACAAATCTTCACTGTATGGGAACACACACACACACACGTTCACAGCTGAAAACAGATGTGCACTACTGCTGTTCCAATGGGTCTGGGAAGCCTTGTATCAATGTGCAATATGCAACCAGACTTTTGACTAAACAGTATATGATTAAACAAAGCCACAAACACTGTTTCCTATTAGTTAAGATTTGAACTGGGGATATCCAGATAGATTCAGATCAGGTTACACCTACCACATCATTATGCAAAATCAAAATTCAAAGTGTGATTTGAATGAATGAATTGCTCAATGTGACAACAGAGTGAATTGTGATAAAATTTACAATCTCTAAATCACTTGCTAAACAAATGTGAATTAAGGATTAATAAAGCAGACTACTGACTTAATCTGTATGAGAGGGACTGCTGAATAGCAATGTCCTACTGTCCTGTGTTAATCTTCTTTATATAAGCTTTCATCATCTGTGTGAATGGCTGTCAAACCAATCAAACAGTTATTTTGTTGTAAATAGTCAACAGTGGTTGAAATAACACAGCTGAGGTGAATCTAGTCTACTCTGTTTGCAGTTTAATAATGTGACCCGAGGGCCTGCTCTGACCTGCTCCATGTCCTTGTTGAGGCCAAAAGTTCTTTGTATCTCTGCAAGCAGTCCTCTCTAAAGAGAGATTTCACTCGCTTAATGTGGGATGACAGGTGGATTCTGGGAAGGGAGAGTGACAAGTAGATTACAGGAGAGCTCAGGATAAACCCCTTCACATGCTGGCTGAGCCGGACTGCAGCTGTGTGGACACATACTCACTTCTCAAACTTGTGGATTTGCTCATCATTGTATGCCAACTCTGAAGAAAAATAAGAAAAGGTATTGTCAATTTTACCATAAACATAAAGAGTTAAATACACAGCATTTACCAACAAATAAACATACATACTGCCGGTAAGTCTGTCTTTACGATAATGCTGATGAATTGTCATTATCTTCTGCAGCAGCATCTCCATCTTCTGACAGCTGTGGGAGACAAGAGGTCAGAGTCCAAACACCACAAAGCCACAAGATCACCCTGAAGCTTTGAATCCCTGAGTACCTCTTGTCATTGGCCAGCGTCTCTGCGAGCTTGGCCTGTTCAATCTGCAGATGGTCCAGTCGGTTCTGAAACTCTTGGATGCCAGCAGCGTATATAGGCAAGTGCTCATGGACCTGTAGAGACAGCAGCCACACACTCTGATACCTGAATCAACAAATCACAAGTCTGCCACAGGATTAATGGTTCACAGTCCATTATCCTGGATTAGTAATTAGGCAATTCATCCCTATAAGTATCCGTCAGCAGGGTCGACACCTGCCAACAGTTGGGCATTCAAACAGGAAGAGTCTGGTTAAAAGTGTGTAACGCCTTTGCTGCATGCCATCCCCTTTGTCACCACTCTTGTGTTATGATCTCCACTCATGAATGAAGGGATGAATACATTTAAATATGAAAAAAACCCAGTTTCCAACACCATCAGCCACAGCAGTCAAGCTGGCCTCTGTGATGCTTTTTCCTGACACAACTCACCAGCTTCAGCTTTTGACCGTTATCAGCTGAACCTTGGTTTTCTGAAGCGTAGTGGCCTCTAAAAGAAATTAAGATACAAAAGAAATGGGAGGAGGAAGAAAAAAAGGAAGAGGAGGTGGATGTGAATTATATTATGACAACATATAAAATGTAAGCGATGCACTTGGTCTACATTTGTCAACAAATTACATATCTCAGAATTCACTACATTCATACAGTAAACAATCCAAACCTACATCACCTTCACGGTGGCAAATGGTAGCTCAAAAAGCAAGAACAGCTCAATTTGCTCTACTGCTGTAAACTGCTACTACTGCATAATGCCATACAAATGTCATACAAACATTGTCCTTTTATTTAGCTCAGTGTGTAGACAAACTCACAGTGTGTAAATCCTGTGTTCTGTGTTGAGGCAAGACTGCAGTCTAATGGTGATCATCGCAATACTGTGCATTGCTTCTCCACACTCCCTGCGCAACCTCATCCTGGGGAACAGTGTGAGAGAGGAGGACAAGGGGGAGAAATGGAGGGGAAAAGAATTTAACAAGGGTCATTAACTAGTCGTTTATCATTCAGTGCAGTGAAACAACTAATCCTTATTTTAGCATGTGTGTGTGTGTCTCACATGTAGCTGTAGTATCCTTGCAGTAGCAGCTCTCGGTGTGTGTGCAGCAACTGTACTATCCTCAGATACTGGTGGACAACTCCCACTATTACCTGCAGAGAAGAGGGGGAGATAATAAATAATAATAATAATAATAATAAATGAATTGGAGGCTTATTATACACAAAATTCAAATATAAATTAAAGTTGCAAGCAGTGATGAATGGGCCCTCGCATTCCACGCATGGGTGGAACTGGTGTGCTGCGGCCAGGTCCTGCGCCAGCATATCACGCACACACTGATCCGTGCAAATGTCACGGAAATTGCCATATAAGGCTTACTTTTTGTTGCCAGTAAGTGGCGCTATGAGTAGAACTGAATATTGGCATGTAGATGTGTTCAGGGCAGATTTATTTTTGACACCACGCCACGGCCTTTGATGAGAACTCAAGATTTTGATAACTTTCCATCCAAAACAACATGTGTGCCGCGTTTCATGAGTTTTGGAGCATGTTGCAGCCTCCACTAATGAGATTCATTTGCTGAAAGAAAAATAATTTGAGCAGTTTCAATAGGGTCCTTGCCGTGTTACTGCCCAGGCCCTAATAATTCCTTCAGATACAATAGGGTTCTCCTAACGCTTTGCTGCTTGGGCCCTAAAAATAAAAATAACATAAGGCATGGGTGGGATAGACACATCAGTGGAGCAGTAATACCTTTGAGAAGTTGTAGTCTGCCATTACATCAAACCTGGATGGGATGACTGGAGTCTCCACTACAAAAGAAAAGAAAAAGCCCACAACCCCGCTTACTTTCCTTTTTAATCAACCTTCATTATGCACTCATCTTTTAATATCTGGGAATGGTGTTCAAATAAATATTACTAAAAAAAAAACCTTGCATAAAACATGTGATTCATAAATATATTTATGTGTTGTGTGATGCTGGGATACACCTGATATCAAAGCTCTTAGAAGAGGAGAGCTTAAGAAACAGAAACATATCAAAGGTGTAGGTGTCTTTCACTGTCTTACGTTCTCTGAAGGGCAGGCTGGTATTTGCTTCAGCCCCGTAGCTGAGCAGAATGAGGGGCCGGGCAGGTGAAGTACTTGGGAGGTTGACCACTTTCATGTTGCCCTCCAGAGGGAGGTTGTGACCCAGGTATAGTAAATGCTGCAGCTGTACTCCTATACCAGTCTGAGACGCCACCTCCTCGAGGAATATCGACACCCTGAAAGGCAAGGTGATGGTAATAATTAAGGATTTAACAGTAATTCACTTGTGCTGATTACTGGGCCCCAGCATGTGTATATTGCTGCTTCACCACGAACATCTCTAAATGAACACAAGAGATTATTTTAGAACATCTAAGATCTTACATAAATAAAAATTGGCTTAATATTGGCGTAGAAAAAAAACAATTGTCAGTGCCGTTAGTCACTGCTATAATTGTGATTCTGTTTGTTGGGATATTGAAAGTGCAAACAAAAAATGACTGACACAATAACTATCAGTAACTGTAGTTACATGAAAGTAAGAACTAACCAACAAATCATGATTGAGCTCACATCACGTGCCTCTGATCAGAAACTGCGGCTGTAACACACACACACACACACGCGCTCACACACTCTGCTCTTCCATGCTTAGAGGCGAGGAAAGTCAATCAACTAAAAGGGAAAGCCTTCATGAAAGCAAGTGTGGATTACAGATATAATCTAGAGCTTAGTACAAACTCTACAGGAATTAAAAGCATTATACGCATAATTCTGCATAATTCGGCAATTGCTTCACATTCTTGCTTGTTGGTGGAATCAACTAAATAAGTCATGTTGTCAATAAGTAATGTAACATCCCTCCTTGCTCTACCTCATTTACATAGGTCCATCTACTCAGGTGCCATGCCGTATAGTAAACAAGAACATCAAGTGAGCAGGTAAAGCACATTCTAGAGGTATAATACAATTTGCATAGCACTGCAACAATTTTTGTGCAGCCATTAAAACAAACTGTTTCCCCATATTGTGTGAAATTGGGTAAAACTGTGCAGTTTTAAACTGTAGTTTGGAATAAATATCACCCTAGTTATGTCATCCTGGTCATCTTTCCTACATTTTTTACCACCAAAAAAATCTGTCTGTTACAATTTAACAGTCCTGTAGTCAGTAGACAGCTTTATTAGTGTTTAATCAGAATAGTGTGTGCAATGACTCGTCTGTGCAGACTTACGTGTTGTAGTGGTGTATGTAGATGCAATGTGCCTTGGCCTGTTGCAGAGAGAAGAGATGAACTGGCTGCCGCTGCAGTATGTCAGTGGTGGCTGTGAAGAACTGGTCAAAACCCCAACACCTCTCTTGGTCAGCCTCCAGTATACCTGCTAGTACAGGAACCAGCTGCACCGCCAGACCCCTACAGACAAAGAGACAGAAAAAGAGAAATTTTATGGAGATCAAGAAATGAATTCGCATCATGTGTTCTCATTAAAGAATCACAAACAAATAAATGTTTTAATGCTCTTTATTAGGTAACATACTGAGAGAGCTGGCAGCTGTGAGGTAGTTTGTAGCTCCACTCTATAGGTCCATCCGCCACCCGCTGTATTCCTGCTATTGCCCCCATAGGCTTCTCTGTAGTTATTTTATACCTACACAACAAAACAAACAAGTCAGGTTAACAAGATAGTGGTGCATGTTCTGCCTGATATCTCAAGACTCCTGAAGAAACAACTTGCAGCTAAAAAAAAATTCTCTTTGGGGAAATCTGAAGTACAATTAAAATATTTTAGTGGTGTTTTCATTAACACAGAAAAAATGCCGTCTACTGAATGCATGGTGGTATGCTTGCAAATATTGATATGGAACTCGGCCTGTAGAGATTAAGAACACATTCAATGTCGGAAATGTGTGTATTAACAAAACTGTACACTTACATGGTGGGCTTGTTCCTCCGGGGTCCTCCATACGGTGTGAAGGGAAGACTCCCGGTGGCAGCGTGGTAAAACGTCACACCAATACTCCACAGGTCTACACTCACTCCGTAGGATTTCTGATGAGGCTTTCGTAGCACTGCTCGTTCATACATGTCTGGGTGCTACACACACATATTTCACACATTAGGAAGAGAAGACACACAGGTCTACAGGTGGATATACAGTCATTGTGCTGTATATGTTGATCAAGTTAATATTAGCATCTAATCTTAAGTGCTAAGTGTTAAGTAAAAGCATTTTTTTTGACCAAACATGTATTCTTACCCAGGGAGTCTCTCTCCCTTTTTTTTTTATTAGAGAACATTGTGTTAAACTTTGTAGGCACCTATAGGTCACACATATACACATATGTGAAATATACTATTGTTATTTATTCTTATTGGTTAGAAATATTAATTATATTGTGGCAGACATGTAATCACTATGAATCACATAAGACAATCCTTGTTGGTCTGTTATGTTTTGTGCAGCACTTCATTTAAAATATATGTATTTATTAATTTGTCCACTAGAGGGCGACCCAGTCTTGATAATAATTTTTTTTTGAGGGCTCAAGCTCTGGACTCCACAGGGCCTGTCTCACAAAGCCATTTCAACACAGTCAGGTTGTTTTTGCTACGAAACCAAACACTGGTGACACAGGATTTTCACATCAAGCCGAAGTTGGATTCACGTGCAGTGGTTCATAACAAACTACCAATTACATGCAGCATATAAAAATACAGATTTTTAGAGAGTAAGCTATCCTCATGGGGAAATGAGGCTTTTATAGCAGTCAAGGTAATATGGTTTAGTATGGAAAAGTACACGTAATAGACTAAGCAAACAACTAGAGTATAAAAAGAAGCAACGGAAATTAGTGGCAATAACAGACTGTAAAAATGGAAAAAGCTATTATAACAGCGAAAGGCGATGCTGTTTCTGCTACCAAACCTTGAGAGGTTTCCCTGGAGGAGAACTGAACTAATAGGGAAGGTTAGAAAATGTGCAATAATATTATAACCGTCCATAAATAGGGCCCCACTGAGCATACTTTTTATTGATGCAATATTATTTCATCACATTTTTTCAATTTACTTTGATGTCTTTACTTTATATATCCAGGACATTGGGTGAGCATGAATGCACTAGGCAATGTCCCCCTCCACTGAGGCAGTAAAAAGATTTTCATAAAGTCACCTCATGTTCTATAAGGCAGCAGTAAAGCAATATGAAGGAGACAGGCTATGTTACGATTGCCTGCATTTTATATCTGGATGACCCTGAACATTTTTTTAAGGATTGTGCAGCTTAGGCACTCATGCACTCATCTACAAAGTCACTTCAAGCAAAGAAAGTCATTTTGATAGCACAAACACACTAAGTCTATCCATCTTACCAGATACTCCTCAGTTCCGTAGATAGACAGAAACTTCTCATCATCTTCCAGCTCTCTTGCTGCTCCAAAGTCAGTCAGCTTATAAACAGACTTGCCGTCCTCCCCAACCTGCCGCATGATGTTGCCTGGCTTAATGTCCCGGTGTACCACTCCATTTTCTCGCAGGTGGTTCATGCCCTGTACTGAAGAGAAGAAAGGGAGGCATACCTCAGTTTAGGCGTAACTGTATGAAATTATTGGGAAATATCAAGATATACACCCACCGACACACTGCAAAACTGTGAGGAACTCTGTTTCAGGCAGGCCAAAGGCGTTTTCTGGCTCCTCGAGCAGGCTGAGCAGACTTCCTCCTGAACAATACTCCATCACCAGTACCTTGTGTTTAGAGGGCAGCTAGAGAGTGAGTGAGACAGTGAGAGAGATTAGGAGATGCACTTCCTTCAACACTGTAAACATTATAAAATACTGGTATTACGAAAACTTAGTGCCTCAAGAACGGGATGATTGGTATTGAAAACTGCAAATACAATTCAACTTAGTGAGGAAAAATACTGTGTGTATGTATAAATGTATGAAAGGAAATACGGAAGCTGTCTAATCCCACTGTCTAACAGTGTAGGACCACGTGTACAAATGCATGTATTGCACGTTCCAAACTAATTTGGAATAGCTTCAGCTATGTTTTACTCAGTGATAATGATCTGATCTTTGTCTTCCCTCCACTCACAGCAGCCTTACCTCTTCCACAGTGTACAGCCGTACAATATTGCTGTGGTTGAGCTTCCTCAGCATGTCAAACTCTCTCATCTGGACCTCATGGGGGCGGTTGTAGCTCACAGTGTTAAACACCTTTACGGCTACCAGTTCACCTGACTTCTGCACACACACACACACACACACACACACACACACACATTTACATCAGCATAACACATCACAGCGTCAAAAACAGCCCACATCACCACTTATCACACATCCTGGATGTCGCTTTTGGGCCACAAACGTGGGCTGAAACGTCTGAGGTAATGTCAGCAGTGACGTGAATGAGCTGCTCAGTGAAAAACATGATAAAAATCACCCACAGCGTTTCCTTACCTTGTTACGTGCCTTGTAGACACTGGCAGTAGCCCCTTGACCGAGGACATCTTGTAAAGACCAGAGGTAGTTTGTTGTGCTGCCTGTCAACCCTGACATGCTGGAGGGAAAACACACACAGGGAATGATTAGACAGAGGATTAGAAAAACATTAACAGGGGCCGAGGAGAGAGACAAGTCCTCTTTGTCTGTGTTCTTCAGATAGATATAGAGATAAACATTACAAATGAATCATGAAAAACAGAACAACGAGCTAACTATACATAATAACTGACTAGTCAAGTAAGCTATACTTTATAAACTAACATAAACATCAATGCACATGCAGTCAGATATAATGTCAGCTCTAAGTTATCACAGGCAAACTAAAATACGTTATTATGCGTTATAGAGATGTTAACAACAATGTTGTTTAATTAGTATATTAGCCAACTTGTTGACAGCGCGTTTTAATAACACAACAACGTTAATTATGTTAGCAATCACTTAGTCCAACCAGTTAAAGGTGAACTATTTGGTAAGTGAACTTAGGTTCAATGTTAGTTTACCTGTACTGTTCGCGGTGCGTTAATCTAACAGCTGCCCTCGATAGCCTCTTCCGGTCTGCCGGTCGCAGCTCGACTGTTTATCCCGGGAAATATGGCGATAGTCACCAGTTACAGCTACAAAGTGCTCCGAGCTTTTACCGTAAATCCAACTACCTCGGAGAACAACAACGCCTACGAGACAAACTTCTTCCGTAGTGGGAAACGGAAACAGCTGCTCACCTGGCTAATGGCCGCTCTCCGCACAGGTACAGCGAGGACCCGCTGCTGTGGATGAGAGCAGTCCTCCTCCGTGTCTTTTAACGTGGCTCAGACAGCTCATGAGCTACTCAAAGGTAGCACTGCACCGTGGGGTCTGATTTAGGAAGTGTGGGTTTCAGGCGGGGCGGACTCTAGCTATACACGATGGCGGAAATACAGTAAAGTGCAAACTTAACAGTTTTATTTTGTGTCCTATAGGAGGACATTGAGCAACTATCATATACTGTGGCATCCTGAATCAGCAGTGGGCTTTGCTCCTACATAGCTGGAGCTTTTGCAGTCCTGGACTGGGTTTTTGAGGTCTTGCACAATAAAAAAAATAAACCACACAGCTCACCATATGATGGATTGACATGAATGATGGATGCATTAGATGAATTGATGTGACAAGACTGTGCATGCATGTTCAGTTTATGTAGTAATGAGGAAATGCACAGACTGGGCAGGGGACCACTGGGATTTGTAGTTTGCTACATTTTTCTCTGAGGTTGTTAAATCCTTGTTGTTACAATATCTCATCTCAAGTGATTTACTGATACCTAGTACTGATCTGATACCAATGCCCTCTCTCCCATATCTTTTAATATATAGATTTAAAATCTGCACACATCCCTTGTTTGGACCTCAGTGGAGTTTTGCATCTTGCAGGCTTATTTCAATCAGACAATGTCTTGTGAATGATGATGATGATAATAATGTAGATTAATCTTACTTAACATTTATATATGGTTTAGTATTTGAAGCCTTTCTATGTTCACTGTCTGGTCTGATACTGCAGACATTGTACAGCAGGACACTCAACTGGCTTTGCCCAGGGGCCCCTTTGAAGAGATGACAGGAGGCCAGGGGCCAGTTAATGAACAAACAAATAATATTTCTGTCAGTTAAAATGAAAAAAACATTAGGATTGTTGATGTGCATAAGATGGCTTCAAGGTAGTAATCTCTTTTCTTGCTGTGCTACCAGACAGGATCACTGCACTAAAGCTAGCATGTTTGGACTCATGATGGTGCCCAAAACACAGTAAAATAAAGGCAAATTCATCTGTTTGCTATTTCTCTCTCATCTTTGCAATGAGGCAAATCCAGTCTCAGTGCCCCAATGCAGTTCAGATATACAAGAACTCTGCACAGAAAGTGTCACTGCTTCTGAGCACTGCAGAAACTGCTGATCGCTATAAACACACATTACAGTTCCCAGTATGAATACATTTATTTTCACTGTGAATTAAAGAAAATGGTCAGAGGGCCACCCGGCACCCTATCTGGCTTTAAGCTCAGTATCATTGCTGTACACTATGTGTCTATCCGTTTGTCTACATGTCACGCTTTAGTTGCCCAACAGGTTTAGCCTGTAGTTGTATTCTGTAAAAGGGAAACTCCACAGATTTTACTAAGTTTAGCTTACTCAACACAATGAGTATTACTCCACCTGTGAGTGGTATGGTTGGAGCCTAAATTACAAACTGAAGGTGTGGAGTTCTAAAGAAGTGAGCATTTATAAGAAGGGTCTATTAAAAGACGCTGTTGAGTTGCATTATGGGAAGTGTAGGATCCAGTACTTCTGGAGCTTGATCATTACCAGGGGCTAAAAGAGAGAGTATCTTTAGAATCGGTCTCTCTGCATTTGAGTCTCCCAAGTTTACAAAGTGTAATACTAAACCACTTGAGTATCCATTGAGGTTTTTCTTCTGTCTACACAGCTTAAGCACGTTTTGTTTCCAATAGACCATCTACACATTTTGGTTAATGAAACCCCTCATTTGTGTCTCCGTGCAGTATTTTTTTGGTCCCTCACATCATGTTTTACTGGCTTACTTTGGACAGACACAGATTTCAACATATTCAATCATTTTTTTCCAATATATTAATGGATGATTTTCTGAAATGTGTAATATTTTCTCTTTATTGTTACAAACATCAAATAATTCAAGAATCTTTATAGCAAGCAATGTTTATTAAAAAACAGATCTACTACAAGAACTACACATAGAATTATATAAGGCCTATTTGATTAAACTACTATTGCTATTACTGTACAATATTGTACCAAAAAAGAGTGTACCTCTGTAATGTACAACATTGTATATACAAAGTACATCTGAACACAGGATTCTCCAGTAATACAGAGACAACTATAAATAGATTTGACATTACGGTCTTTTTTTTTTAGTTCTGCTGTTTTCAAATGGACACAAAAATGCATATTTAACAAGATTCAATTCTGACAAATCATCCCCACACAGTTAGTCCACACTCAAGCCAAGTTGTTCAAGTGCACAATGATTGATTTGAGATCAAAGAGGGTCCCAGCTCCCCTTAACAGCACAGCCAGGACAAAACACACCAACCAACAACATGCATATCTGTGACAGTGTGTGTGTCGATAAGGCAAGTTCATCTCTCACCACAAACACACACACAATCACACTCCTCCCAGTTGTCACGATGAGGTAAGAGCAACACAAATACACCAGGTAATACACAAATAGTATACAGAGATAATAAAAAAAAAACCTTAACAATTATAATCCATTACCTGGTAGAGAGCATACAGGACTACAGTATGTCCTGTATTTCTGGGAGAAGGGGGATATGAGGAAAACCGACTGTATGTAATATTAGTTCAATACTTTTGCAAGAAGGTGAAATACAACAAAAAAGGCTTTATTCAGTTTACCCTGAATGGTATGTGTCCACTTTTGAAGTCAGTGTTTGAAAAATTATTCACATATTTCTTAATTCATCATCAAATGTAATTTTGCAAAGGTACATATTAGCAAATAATATTAAAAAAAAAAGTTGAAGTCCTTGGATTTGGGTTTTCTCATCCTCTTTCCACTTGAAGCTGGTCTGCCACTGGCGATGTTACAGCAGCAACTGAAGACGAGACAACGTTTCATGTATCCCTGCAGACTTTTTTTTTTTTTTTAAATCTGGTCACATGTACACAGTCCATATTTATTCAGCAGGAAGGCTGCTGGTACTCCAGAAACACGGGAGAGGTGTGTTTTCTTGCGTGTCTCCAGACAGTTGCTGTCGGGTGGCATCCCTTTATGATGGGTGGGGGGCGGGGGTGGGGTGAGGTGAGGTGCATACATACTCTATACATCCACGCATGCTCACACAGGCACACACACACACACGTGCACACACCCGGACAGCTACACAGTTCAACATTTTACCATTACAGATTCTGCGCATTAATAAACAACTGGAAACAAAAAAAAAAAAATAAAGCAAACTTTGCTTAAGAACGCATTGGATGAGGTGGTTGGTTGTGCTTCTATCTAAACACACTTAGGAGGATCCTCAGCTCCATGCTTCCAGTTATCATCATGATTATTACACATACATACACACCATTAGAATAATAAAACCCTTTTACTGTTAAGTCTGAAGTATATAGTTAAAGGAGCAAGCTGTAACTTTGTTTGAAGATGTCCTGTAGCTGGTACTGCAGATATAGAAACTGATGCAATCAGCCAGCTCGCCATCAAAGCTGCTGTCTATGGCCCCAGCATGCAAGGAAAACCTGAAAGGCGTTTAGCTGCCACAAAACACAACCACACACACATCTGGAGAAAATGTGCGCGTGTGTGAGTACAGTCCAACATTACCTATAAAAATGCTGGGTTTCAGTGGTCCTCTACATACATAATAGAGCTGCAGGAGGGAAGCAGCATAATGCCTCAAACTACCAGCTTTCATTATTTTTATTGCTATATTTGAATTTAGAATTACTGTTGTTTTATTTTGGAGAACACTGCTCCTGCTATGCTCCTTTTGTGGTACTAGTACTGAACAATAATAATAATAAAAATTAAAAAATAAATCACCAACATATCAAACACTGGAGGAAGAGATAAAATAAAGCTCTTGATCACATGACTTACACTGATATTTGGCCCAGTTTTCTTTCCTTTCATCATCAACCAAAAGCCCACCTTTATCTGCAGTCTTCCACTTCTGAAGCAGCAAGTCAGTGAGTTTCATTTCTACACAGAATGAGAGCTTAGCATTTCACAGTCTATTATCAGGAATCAAACACTCCCTTCCAGTCCGCTAGTCATGGGTCATTAAAAAGAAAAAAAGAAAAACAAAAAAAAAAAACTGTCATGTCTACTATACAAAAATCAAACAGTGCTTTTTGTTCCTCACTTAGATCTGTGTGTAAAGGCAAGTAACACTCGCACGCCCACTCAAACACAATTTCAAACACACAAACTAGTGTATGTAAGCTGTACGTCTGTAGGTGTCCATCCTGAGTCCTGTTCCCTTGTACAAGATTTTAAAAATCCAGTGATCCCTGCAATCTCTGTGGTGGCAAAGAAAAGTGTCTTTCGAAGGTGTTCACTCATCTACGCCCTGTAATAGCTGACTTTTGTGAGCAGAGCTGCCAGGAGAGGGCAGAGATAACTCTTGACACGCTCAAGGGAACACAGTGTATTAAGAACTCGCCTGGACACCAAGAAGTGAATGCTACACATGAGTAGTGGGTTAGGTCTTATGTCAAACCAAAAAAAAGTGCTTTCTGCACCTGATAGAAGAGCTGTAAGAATTGAAGTGTTTGCAAGAATCAGTATCATGGATCAGACTGAGAGGTCCTAAGCTGGGCAGGATTTATCGCTAGACTGGGGTGGAGGTGGAGGAGGAGGGGTGTGAGGGAGTGAATGTGTGTGGCCTGTGGGTGGAGGAGGAGGTGTAGGGGGTACAGTAGAGGTCGGGGAACCCATGGCTGGACTGCCGCTTCCTCCTCCGCTCTTTGGGAAAACCACCGGCTTGGGCCTTGTCGCTGGGGGGCGCAGCTCTCTAAAGGAAGGTACAGATGAGGAGAGGGAGGAAGAAGAGAGTGAGGGGGATGTGGCAGAGGGCAGGGGGCTCCGCGGCTGGCTCTTGACCGGGCGGAAGGAGGAGGGCACGTCGCTGGCGGAAGAGGCGCTGCGCTGAAGTGGGTGGGTGTGTGAGGAACTCCCCTCGCTGTCCCGTAACAGACGGGAGTGGAGTGGACTGGAGGGCTCCGAGGCTCCTCCTCCTCCTCCACCGCCACCCACACCTTTCAGCTGCTCCAGTGTGTCCAGGACCACGTCAGGGGTGTGTGTATGTTTCGAGCTGCTCTGTCTCTCCAACTTACTGAGCTCGCTCAGGGCAGAAGTCATGGTAGCCTCAATGTCCTGCAACACGAGAGGCGCACATTCAATTAAATATTAGGTTGTCCATACAAATGCCCAGTAGTAGCAGATGTTGATGTAACTGATCTGTACCTGTGAGCTGTGCTCCACCTGGGCTATAACCTCCGGGTCCAGTGGTCTGTGGTTGCTGAAGCTCTTAGAGCGCCCTGCTGTAGTTGTCTTGCGTAACTGTGGACTTTCCACCTAAATGTTCGTAACGCCCACAATTAAATGCTTCCACCTCACCAACCCACAACACGTCCATATCACTACGGCTTCATACGACGCCCCGAGAGGATTTTTCTCCGATCATCTCTCCATAGTCCACCAGGTTGTCTGATAGAGAGTATGTCGTTGACCTGAGTTGAGAACGAGCTGCTGCGCTGACAGGCCCTTTCCGCTTTTCTCACAGACCCCCCACCAACAGGAAGAAACTGTTCTCACACTCTCCGCCTCCTCCCTCCTCCCTCCTCCTCCGCCTCCTCCTCCACCGCCTCCTCCACTGCTGGCTCCTGGACTAGTACTCTCGCTCTCTGAGCCCCGGAATGTTCTTCGGATGCTCCCGGACTCCGGACGTTTCCTCATCCTGAATTAGATAAATATTTTAGTTACATTTTAACTGTACTTTTCTGTTCTTTTTTGTGATTCAGTTCCAGTCAGCCAACTCAAGGCACAACATTTAGAAAAAAACAACAACAATAAAAGCCAAAATCATAAAGAAGAAACTTTAAAATCTTCAGTTTCTGAAAAAGAAAAGTGTTTTATTTGTTTGTTTATTTCCACACAACTCATTTATTGACTCAAAACTAAAGTTGCAAATGAGAATCTTTGATATACAGTAAATATTCATGAGACATACTTGTTCAGGTTGGCCAAGTAGATGTCAGCCACATGAGCTCCAGTAGGAGAGGCAGCGCTGCCTCTAGTTGACACCCTCTCCTCCAGCAGGTCTCGGCTGTCCACATCAAGCTTTGGACTTCCCCTGCCCCCGTCAGGCCTGAAGAAATCAAGAAATAGTGTATAAATCATTTTCCGTTGCTCTATATTGCACCAAGCCATCAGAGTAGAAACTTTCTCTGACAATTGTACATTACTTCTGAAAGGCAAAGCTGACTTTGTGCACACAAATACAGCACGTAAAGTTGACAGGAAAGCTGATACGCAGGTTGCTACGTATCGTCGCAGATCAACTTCCTTAACTACGGGGATTTCCAGTGAACTACTTTCTGTGTTTCTTGTAGAAAGCTCTGTGTTTATCAATATTCACAACAGGCACAGGAGAATAAAACACAGGTTTTGTACTGTAATCTCTTAATTAATATGTTATTCTGTTTATTAAGCCAGATATTTATAAGATCTTACATTTCTTGGACCACGATGTACTGGTGCGGCACCAGTCCATCCACTCCATTATGCCGTCCCTCCCACCAGTCGTCAGAGGCTCGCTGGTACAGAAGCAGAGACGCACCCTTCTTGAATGACAGCTCCCGACTAGTCCGGCCGGAGTAGTCGAACCGAGCAATGGCTTCGAATGGGTCAGACTCTGAAACAGCCAAGGAGCCTGAAGTTCAGAGGATGGTGGACAGACACAGGGAGTGACGGAGAAGCGGGGGGGCAGAAACAAACGGGAGAAAGAAAGGAGAAGGGAAGCCAGATTAGTGCATAGCAGGTTAGTGCTGCTGTATTCGGTGACTGCACAAATGTTAAAATTGCTGAGCAGTGACAAAGCCGCTTAAGTAACAGGTTACTGGGAGGAGAATGTGAGCTGGTTTAAATGGTTAGAGCTGAAGTAACTGGTGAGAAAAGCAGGAAGAGATCTCATAAACTGGTGAAAAGAGTATATTCAAGTGCATGTATGTGTGTGTGTGTGTGTGTGTGTGTGTGTGTGTCTGTGTTAATCACCATCTTCGCTGTTGTGGATGACGGAGACGGTATCAGGTGCAGGCTCTTCCACAAGGGGGGGCTCACAGTGTGGACTGTCACTAATGTGGACACAGAGGGCAGATGAGGTTAGAGGACATAACTACAAAAGACTCAGACTGACATGTGTTGATGACTCACATCCTGACCTCATATTCCTCTATTAAATCACATAAGCTCATTGCTTAGTGTTGAGATTATAACCACGCTGGAAACTTGTACACTCCTTGAAATAACACTCTTTCTTCAAAATGTGCTGTCTGTCTCTGCTTAGATTTTAGGCACAAGGTGTATCCAGAGCAGTAGCCAGGATTTTACTAAGGTCATGAGTCTGAAGTCACACCAAAGAATCCCCCGTCCCTCCTCAGAAAACTCACTTTGGAGTTTTTTTCCCCTGCTGCTCAATTATATTTCATTACATTTCTAAAAATTCTTTTTACTGCCAGGAATATAGAGTTATCAATAAATGCACATAATGAAATGTGGTTTTACACATTTTATTACATATATTACATGTTTTCATAACCCTACACTGCCAGGAGTAACATTTTGGAGGAAAAATGGTCAATTTAAAAATGTATTAATTTATTTTGCAGGCTTAAAAGTAGCCAAATCTTGATATAAGGAATCTATAGAGTCTGAAACAACCAGTTAAATTCCCACTGTACACATGCTTTAACCAGAAGAAGCACAGTATTGATTACATGACCTTAATGGTAGCTATGGCCCTGGACGCATTAAAGCCAAGCCATATTTTCTGTCTACACTTAGTCCAGTAGAGACTAAGAGCTGCTCCTTCAGCGTGACTTGCAGTCTAAACAACTGCACTGAATGGCAGTAATCATAATAACTAGTGCTGAGGCTTGTCATTACAGTAAAATTGAAAGTTGGCCCTTGTGCGTATTGTGGTGTGTGTGAAGGCCGTGCTCTCCCAGGCTGATGTGGTCAGGCGGTACTTTAATCTCATGTGTGATGGAGCGTAAGCTGATCCTCATGGCCCCCCTGGCCTTGAGTGGAGCAGACAGACTGACCCCCCCAATCACTCCACGGCAGCCCCTAAATCAACCACCCTCCCCTTTTTTGGCCTCCTCATCATCTCCCCTCTAGTTAGATAACAATAGGACAGGACTCTTGTCCCCCAAACCCTCACCAGAAGTCATCTCCAGCTCCAGGGACGGTGTAGATGGGGCCTTTCAGGTCCTGCAGTCCGGGAAAGATGGTGTCATGGTGGATGATGATTGTTTTAATGAGCTCATTGACGTGGGCCTGGCAAGAGACCTGGTCGTGGCCCTCGGGTACAGACATCAGGGTGGGACCGAAACAGATGGCCAGGTTGTAGGGGTCCATCATGTTGTCCTCGCTGTATTGAGACAAGCTGGAAGGGAAAGCAGAGTCATTTAGAGGTTATTACCTCACCCTTCTTTCTTAAACATGTAATATACACAAGACTGCCTACACGCACAAACAACCATGACATGTAATATATAGCCTACATCACCCCCTGCCTGTGGATAAACTGTGAGTGCATATCTGTGTATGTGAGATTGCACAAGGTCCAACAATAAACACAAACTCAGGCTTGCATCAATACATCACTTCATTTGCACACTGTGGAGATGGAGGGTCTGATGGTGTGTGTGTTTCAGTGTCTGACAAGAAACAGAAGCATTGGGGTGACTGTAAATCACTTCAGCAAAAGAAGGAGCTCCCCTTCTGTCTTCACATGAGCTGTCTGGGACCACTTGGTTTACCCAGGAGTCTCAAATATCAGGTCTCCGACAGCGCATTTGTTTTCGTCTTTCACTCCATTTTACTGCCTCCCTTTACCGAAAGGCTTTGTCATGGTTTTCAAGGATGGTTTGCGATGGATTCTTCAAATTCTCCCTCATCCACCTATGCCGAGTTTGTTCTTGTCTTTGTCAAGCGATTCGGTGTTGTGGCTTTTGTGAGTCAGTTGAGACACTGTTTGCAATACTGGGCTATACAAATAAACCTGACCTGAAGTGGAAAATAAAATCATTCCTTAAGGAGGGACGCTTCCAGTTCCTTGTTTATTGATGAGGCAGAAATATTCTTTGCACTTTGGACTTTCATTAGGGTCCATACTTGACTTTCCACAAAGATTAACGGATGTTTAGATTTGGTGTGAGAAGGACAAATGAAGGTCTTTTAACCTCATTCTGTTTATTTATGGCGTTTATGAGGGTGTATGGGGTAACGTTAGCAGATCGGAAGAGAAACAGGATGCTGAAAAGCAGCTTATCAAGCCCCATCACTTTTATGAACTGCTGCACAAGTTTCAGGTTTTGTGCTCCTTATCATCCTAATTCATCACTGTACTGATCTTGGACACAGGAAGTTTCAGTATGGTATGGATTTAGTGAAACAATGAGCTGTTTCTTGTACCGCATTTGATTCTCTTCTCGCTAAGCTCTTTTATATGACCAATTCAACTAATGGTTATTTTTTGTGGTTTATGGTGATTGAATTGTCAGTTGACTTTCATATACTAAGATGTTTTGTGTGATTTATATTGAAAGTGACTGACTTTGAGAGTGGTATCTTATTGTGACAAGTTTTAGCATTAATTGAAAAGTTCTAGGAGTGGGGCAGTCGTCTCTAATTATACTACATTCTATTCTCAGTGGTAAGTGTGCCTTTTTAACCATACACCCTATGACATGCACAGAGTAGAAATTGATGTTGGCTGAGTGCTCAGCTGAGACTATGCAATGCTCTTTGAGTGAGATCATTGTAAAGCAAACCAGATGAAACTAAATGCATTGTTAACACAATTTTATGTGGGATTTAAATAAATATGAACATTTGAAAAATACTGACACAAGCCTGAGTGTGCGATAATCTACTTTTGTTTAAGTTTATATCGTAGTTTGACATAACAGCATCACAGTGGTGTTGGTTTATTGTATAGTATGTATAGTGTGTGTGTGTGTGAGAGAGTGTGTGTTCTGCTACTCACTGGTTGAGGAAGGAGAACAGGTATCTCATAATGATGAGGGTTTTGCTCGGCAAAGATTGCAGAACTTTCTTAATGTGGACTGCCCGCTCCTGGAGGCTCTCCATCGCTGGAAAATATCACAGTAATAACGCCCAGAAGATTATTCATGGAATCAAGCACATAAATACACACTCCCAAACAGACCAAAGGATGAGAGACTTACAGACACAGGATATGAGGTCATGGAAGACTTCCTTAGGGAAGAGGGCGTGGTCCAGTCCTCTAAAGTAGAGCTTCAGGACGCCAGCAATGGAGTCCATGTCGTGGTCATTCTGGTCCCCTGCCAGCGGATCCTCACCTATATCCGGACAAGAAGTGGGAGAGAAAAGGAAGGAGGATGGAGAGGGTGAGAAAAGACAATAAAACAGTGGGAAATAATGGTTAAAATGCTCAGGTTTCTTGCTTGATGATGCTCTTACCTCTCTCAAAGGCATTTTTGATGTCATTGACTTCCACCTGAGAGCCTGACACTCTGAAGATGCCCTCATGCTGCAGACCTACACACACATAAACACATTAAATTAAAATAAAACCTTTATTTCATTTTCAGGATTTTCCAGCTCTGGGGATTTTGCATTTTTGTAGTTCCATGTCAGGAAGTCCTGGTAAAATTCCCAGTTTAATTTTATCCCGAACCAATCACACTTGACATAACAATGCAACCAATGAGTGCACGGGAAAAGCTGATGCTAGACCTATCACTACACTGGAGGATTTCACTCACCATGGCGACTGATGAAGCGGATGCAGCTCTCGACCATCAGAGGAATGGTTTCACCAGAGTCCTAAAATAGGGGGAGAAGAATTACTCCCGATAGAGGAAGACAGGACAGGAGACCGGTGTGGAAATAAAACACACAGCGCACTTCTTGTCAGGAGGATTTCCGCACACACGTCTGCACACGCACATGCATCGGTGCACACATTTATGTGTCGGGGGAGAAGGTGGGCGCAGTACCCAGCTGTTGCTAGGAGACAGCGCTTTTTCCTTTTCCCTTTGTTTGTTGTAGGTCTCCAGAAATCTCTGGGAGCAGAAGGCTGCGGAGCCATACTGGACAATATATATATATATATATATATCTACCCATTGTTATGTGAATCCCACTGTGGTTTTTATATATTTTACTGAACCTGACTATCATTTGAAATGAATGAACAATCAATTGATTCCTCTGTAAAGTGAGAGCTGACGGCCAAAGCACAATCCATCCACAAGGGGGAGCCACAAACACGAGAGTCCCCATTGGAACAGTTGCTTTTGATCAGTAAAGTGTGTTGCAGATTGCATGACAGTACACTAACAGACTGTGTGGATTTAACTGTAGATATACATGTTTATATTTGTGTATTGGGCTCTATTAATCTGAGTCATGTGATAATAACCAAAGTGCTCAACCTCTAGGTGTCCTTACGTCCTGTGGGGAGGAGGATACTGTGAGAAAACATGTGGCTTGAGTTAAATAACGAAGCTTCAGCAGCAAACTGGGAGGCTGATAGCCAATCAGAAACAAACATACACAGACTCGCAGATAATTACCTGCTTCCGTACCGACGAGTTCCTCCGTCCACTACACAGAGGGAGAGATGGGAGAGAAAGAAAATGCACTCTGTCATTATGTCTCCCGAGAAAGTCTATTTATACTCACAACTCTTGTAACGCTCTATTTGTATACACAGACACATATGCACATGTGTTGAGAATATCTATAAACAGTGACGGGGAAAATAATACCCCTGGTTGCCAAGAAATCAAGCTTAAACGTTGCTATGGTATATCCAAGTGTGTGTGTGTGTGTGTGTGTGTGAGAGCATATTTCCTTCCTTCACCACACCTACCTGGCAAGGCAACAGTCAGTCTTCTGACCTAAAGGAGGGAGAAACAGGAAGAGGAGGAGGGGGGAGAAGAAAACAGAAAGAGAGAGAGATAGATAGTTATAGTAGGAGCAGGACACATGAGGAAACAGCTTCAGAAGGACAGAAACAGGGAAACAAACTTCCCACTTAAGCTGTGCACACACAAATCAGGAGAGGTTTTCCTGTAAGGTAAAGGAAATGCAGACACATTTGGCCCTTAGGACACCCACCCACACACACTTGAACACACAGCTGCATCCACATATGGTCACTGTCACCGTGACCTAGCCCTCCACTCATACACACACACACGCACACAGATTGT